GTGCGTGTGTGTGCCTTTGCGTAGATGGATAGACAGACAGATGGCCAGCTAATCAGTTACTAGTAGGTAAATAGGTAAACAGACAGATAAATAGACAGATAATGTACAGACATTTTTTACATGGTCATATACATACCTACCAACCACCTACCCACCACATGCAGGAAAGGAGACATAGTCTGCTGCAGCCTCCTTCTCCTGCACCAAGAGCTCTTGAAGTGTGGCTGGGATGATCTCACGAAGAGGGACAGTTCTGCAAGTTCAGATCCCATCAACTTTGCCAGGTCACCCCCTAAAGCTTGAAGTGGAAACCCAGAAGAAAACTGGCCACAACACACTATCATGTACTTTTCCGAAATCAGAATATACAACAACGGATCTGATTCATGCAAACCCTCTGATGCATCGGTGCAAAACCACGGACCTGGAAAGTCAACAACAAGTTAGGGTTTAGTGGTTTAGGGGTTTAGGGTGTGGAGTTTAGGCCCAAGGTGCTTTGGGGTTCATACGGTTTCTTGGTGTGCGGATGCGAGGTTTTGAGTGCTAGCTCTTCTTGCGGCTCTGGTAGGTACCGAGCTTTTAAGCTCGCACCTGCAATGCTGTCTCACAGCATGCACGGTCTGCACGGACTGGCCCGATTGCAAATTAAAGCCCTACCCGAGCAGGGTCCCTAACAGAGCTAGATGGGAGTTTCCGACAATAGACGACCCTATTATAGTACCCTAAATAGTAGGATCCTTATGATAAGGACCCCAAAATAACGCACCCCTAGTTTTAGGAAACTCCCAGATAGCAGCCATCATGCTCCCGAGGGCCTCCGAATCAAAACATCATCCCACCCAGAAAACTAATTACATGAAATCCCCAACCTCACATATTCTAGAGACGGGAACTGGTATGATAGCCCTTCATGGGTACTGGGCCATTATTTTACCTACTTGGGGGGGTTTAGGTGAAGCTTTCTATAAAGTCCAAGCTTCAGTGCCCCAATGCATGACGGAAGACGCGATGTTGACCAATAGCTCTCGTCTCACCACGAAGGGGCCGACTCTGGGACGATGTTGACGAAGGTCATGAGCACCGTTAGGGTTAAGGGTTTATGAGCTTATTTATAGTATTTCGAGTTTAGGGACACCGTAAGCACCAAGATTACGATGCCCCTCTAGTGCACTTCATGAACAGCAACGTAGCAACCTCGCGAGCAGCTGCAATAAGCCCCAAAGAGGCAAGTGGCTGTCACCGCACTGGATGATAGGGTGGTTGTCCAAACCCTTTCGGTTCTAGGAAGCTGTCGGACTTTAAGGTTCAAGTGGCAGTACTGCCATGGAGGCAGCGTATCGGACGAAAGTCTCATCTCCTATGAGTCTATGCCTAAATCCCCCAAAGTAGGTCAAATCATGGCCCAATACCCATAAAAGGCTATTATTCTACATACTTTCGGGGTCCAGGTAGGTGTCTTCAAGAGGATGTCTGGACAATCACACCTCGACCGACTGCCACACGCTACGTAATCCGAAGCTGGGCGTGGCCCTCGCCTGTGACCCTCTACCGGGTCAAGGCGTTTGAAACATGCTTTCGCATGAACTCCCCCGAAAATGAGCTATACCCGATGCCAGCAAGAACCAGCAGAAACCTCTCAAGAGGCTTCAAGTGCGGCGCTTCCGGCGACGAGACGCATCTAAATCCTGACAAACCTATCCCACCCAGTCTCCCCCTTAACCTTACAACCCTAATAAACCACCACATCTAGTCTCTTAGCCCGAAAAACTTTTCCGAACCCAAACCAAACAATCCGATGAGGCAGAAGATTTTATGAACCAATAAAGGCCCACGACGTCGGATTGTACAGAACGAAGCACCCTAAACTTTAAACCCTATACCCCCAAACTCACCCCAGGCACCTGTGACATGCTGGTTCGTCCGGCGAAAAGGGCTTTTTCGACGTTTTCGGAGGTTCAGGGGCGCTGACAGAGTTTAGAGCGTTCAGGGATGGGGGTTCTGTGATGCGTAGAGCCCTAAACCCTACCTAAACCCCCTAAAAGTAGGTGAAAGAATGGCCCAATACCTACAAAAGGCTATTGTTCTACATAACTTTGGGGTCCAGGTATGGCACCTCTTAATTTACGTAGAGCCCGAAACCCTAAATCCGAATAGAGTTTCATGCTATGCTGGCGGGGCGTTTTGCCTTAGAAGCTCTTCGAGGAGAAGTCTAGATTGCAACTCCTTAAACTAACATAGGAGCCTTAAGAAGCAGAATCGGGTATTGGGGTATGTCATGTGATAAGATGCTGTATGAATGATTAGGAGCAATGGATAGCATACTAGGAAATCTTCAAGCCCCTGTATAATTGCAAAACTCCAACAAGCAGGCCCCGTTATTCCAGGGTAGTGTTGTCTCAGAGTCTCTCTGTCTCTGGTTACCCCCCAAATCGGGGGCCTTACGTGCCCCGGCCCATGAACCTCAAGTGCTGAGAGAGCCCAACTCGTCTTCATTCAGCTATGAACCTGAAACTACAAACGGCTTGGGGTTTCAAATCGTTTAGGAAGGAATGTGCCCGGGTATTGAGCTCTCTCAATCCGGGTAACAAAACATAACAAAACGACTGGGAGGCCAATCGTTCTTGAGCGCCTCCGTGACTCAGGGCCAGTGCCTATCCCGAAAGGTTCATCCCTCACAACCAAATTCCATATGGGAATTTCCGAAAATTAGGGGGGTACCTTATTTCGGGGTCCTTATAACAAGGATCCTACTATTTAGGGTACCATATTAGGGTCCCCCATTTTCGGAAACTCCCATCTCTGAAGTATCGGCTTCAGAGTTCAACCTGTGCAGCCTTATGGAGAAGAAAAGCGCCTGGGCTGCTTGCTTACTACTTTAACAACCCAGCCGTTCTGAAAGGCCCTGATGTTCGTGAAAGCTGCAGGGATGAGCGGGGTTTAAAGCATCTCTTTCTCCGCAGTTAATAAGGTATAAGGACATAGAACCCCTGTGAAAACACCTTATAGATCCCTTATTGAAGGGCTCCGTATTTCTCTTGCGTGTTTGCTTCGCACTGGGGTGGTCGAGGGGCGTCCACCGCCTTGGTACTATGGGCAGGGTTAGCTTGCGTTGCAGGGTTCAAGGTTTGGGGCTTCAAGGGTTTAACACGATTTTTTATAGGGTTTAGGGTTTATGGTCTCAACCCTATAAACCCTAATCCGTTTTAGGGTTCAGGGACCTAGCTTAAAAGCCTGAATAATCGACGCAGAACTTTGCTCAGGACTCCTTGTAAACAATCCCCAAACCCTGTCCCAAGGATCCAGGACCCTCTTTTTGAGGCCAAGGGCTTACATTTCGGAGGTTGAGGGGTTCACATTCCGAAACCCTAAACCTGAACCCCGAAACCCTAAACCCATGTGATTTCTTTACCCCAAGCCCTAAAGATTCTTAGGTCCCGAGAATGACCGCACAGAGAAGAACTACTGCAAAACTCGTAGAGCCGGGTATGACGTTGTAGGACTGCGACGCAGACGATGACCACAGTGTGGGGGCCTTGACAATTAGAATCGGGTTCTGCGAGCCCATTATACTACAGTCATAATCAGGAACCCCGAGATAGTGTTAGTAACTATTATGGCCACCATATTATTTACATGCCAACATCCTATACCGTCTGTTGGAGGCACGGACCAAACTATACATTCCAAAACTGGCGAATCCAGGAGCGCGGTAGCGAGAGGACTGCGAGAGATTTGCACAAGAGGCAATTGGGTTTTTTGAAAGTTCGGGCTTCGCGCTTCAAGTTTGGAGGAACACTCATAGGGGTGTCGGATCTTGGGCTAGCTTCCAGGGGTTGTTAGTGGAATCCTGCTCCAATCTCTCATCAGTGCATTCGCACCACAGCTGTCAATCAAATCCGGAACTGTCTCACAGGTCGGATACATTTGACGGGCTGGCAAAGTTGGCCAGGAAGGTCCGCAAGATGTGCGCAACACACATTCACGCAGATGGGCTTCAAGAAGGTATGCAATGTTCCAACAGCAGCTACTCTTGAACTCTTAATACATAATTCCAACATCTGCTGCGTCCCCCTGACAGCAGAATCATCCCAGATTGTTCACTAGTCACTAGAATCACCACCTGAAGCTCGAAAGAGTAGGCCTAAGTTTAGGATTCCGGAGTGAAGGCTTGGGATTTATACGGCTGTAGGTTTTTTTAAAGGCTTTAGGGGTTTAGATACCAGGGACCCCTGGCGCAAACCAGCTCCCATCCTCACAAAAAGGCGGCGCACTCAAAGTGGCAAACTGCTTCTCTAGGGTTCCAGGTACCTAGATAACGGATTACTGGGCCATATAAACCCTAAACCCTAAACCCTAAACCCTAAACCCATATAACCATTCAAAGAGGGGGCTTCAGTCCGGCGGTGTGTTGCTGCTTCTCTCAGCAGCCAAACTCGCCGCATCTTGTCATGGGGGGGGCCGTTCTGCTCTGCGTTCCTTTGTGCGCACCTGAGTACAGGACGAAACCTGCTTTTCTGCACGTGACAATCAAGTGGACCGCCCCCCTCATAGAGGTCTAGCTATCATAGACCTCTCCTCAAGGACGGCCTCCATTGAGAAACCACTATGGGAGGTGGCAGAAAAAAACGAACGAACGGGTTGGGCCCGCGACTCTTTTCGCCATTCCTGCCCACATTGAAAACAATCAAGCGGCCTCCGGTACCGCGGAGCTGCAAACACGAAGGCTGCAGGCTCAGAACCCTGTAACTGCTGAAACTTGAAGCCTAAACCCTGTGTAAGCTTCGAGAGTCCAAGGTGTATGTTTCAGGTTCGACATGTGAAGCAGTTAGGATCCTCAGCCAAAAGAACTCGGATACCTCTATTGTTTAAAGTGGCGCAATATACAGGCCGCAAAGGAGTTAGAATATGGTTCTGATAAGGAAGAGGACACTCTAGGCATCAGGGGTCTCTGGCAATTCAAGACCTCAAATTAGGGCAAAGGCTCGGGACTGGAAGAGTGCTTAGGGCCGTGGGGTTAGAGCCCGAGTACCGGCAGGCACGGCGGGGGCGCTCAGTAGGCTTCCTGCTCTGGCTCGGCCTCCAGGAATGGGTCCTCCTGGCACACCACCGTCTAATCCGACCCCCCCAGGGCCCTTTAAATAGAGCCCTTATTATGGTCATTAATAGTCGGTAGGGGGTATTTGGGGGGTCTGGGCTCAAGCTGCGGTATGAGGGTCTATAGGGTCGAGGGTCCACAAGGTTTAGGGCTGGCTGCTTCGGGTTGAGCTGCTTTCTAGTCGGCCGGGCCCAGACAAGCCGTCAATCTGCGAACTGCGATGAACCAACTCAAAGGTTTTTTGAAAGAGAGAGGAGAGAGCCACCAGGCCAAACAACTGGTTGATGGTTGGGATATACGGGATAGTTTAGAGAATTTAAAATCGAATTCCTCATTGGATTGGAGCAGACCCAATTTTCACGATCTTACCCAACCATGACACAGAAAATGTTAGACTGCTGCAAGACCGACAAGGCCGACGGGTAACGTTCCCCAAAATGCCCGGCCACAAGTCGGAAATATCCACAGGACGCATGTGAACACGAAGGCCCCCCAAGAACTTCCCACTCCTCTCCAATATGTGCCCGAGACTCTGAACCCCAAGCCCAAAAGCTCAAGCTCTACATTTTCAACAAAAATTGTCCCTAAAACCTCCCGGCCTTTGCCACATGCGGAACTGCGTCGACAGCCCTGCCTGGAGAGTGCCTCGACATGGGCCATAGGAATCTTACGGACCCGCAGAAGATGACCCGAAACGAAAAGATTAGGAGCTTGAGGTTTCTAGGTTAAATAACACTTAATACGAACACAGCCCCTACAATAGAAGTGTTGCGAGAAAGCTTATAGGAGCTGTATGAATGCCCTGTATGAAATGCTTAGAAAGCTTGCAGAAATCACAGAACACCATATAAACATAGAACTCGTATGAAACCCGTAGCGTCCAACCACCCTCGCCGTCGAAAACCTGAACCCGGAAAACCTTGAAGCCCTAAAACCTAATTTTTTCCTAACCCCTAAAATCTCGAACACCCAAACCCTAAACCTAAACATCCCTGAACCCACAATCCCGAATCCCGTAGGACTGCACTGCCCGTGCCTGGTGCCTCAGGATCTCTGGGGCTATGTCGTCGCGGGTCCTCCGGGTTTTAACTTTGAGGTGGCGGTTTCGGGTTTTCGGTTTGACGCGTCGGGTTTAGGGTTCGAGGTTTCAGGTGTAGGGTTTAGGGTTTGCCATGGGGTTTAGGGTGGTTCCAAAGCAGTGTCTTACCGGGGTCCTATGGCCTTTAGGGTTGAGCTTCGAACGAAGAGTTTAGGGCGGTTCCAAAAATGTGGCCTTGTAAGAGTCCTAGGAAGAGAGAGAGAGAGAGAGAGAGAGCTTAAACAATTGAAGGCCTTGAGGTTCAGTTTGGAGTTTGGGGTCTTGGCGTCGTCTGTAGAGCACTGAAAGGAAATTTATCAGTGCTACAAAGAGGTTGCCAGGCAGATGCTCCACGGCTCTGCCCGACTAAAGCTTGATAAGGAATCACACGGCATGTCACAACCGACATACGGTAGTTCTGTATAGCTACATACTTCAGGATATCATGCAGATCCGTACAGTATCCCACACGCTTAAACCCTGAACCTTAACACCGAAACCCTGAACTCCAAACCTGTATACGCTCAAGCATTAAACATCTCTGAACCCCACAACCACCTAAACCCGAAATCCCTAAATCCAAAAGCCCCCAAACCCGAACCAAAACACTGAACCCTAGTACAAATCCAAAAGCCCAAAATCATCAACCAACCCCTGGACCCCATTGTAAACAACCAAAAGCCCTTAAATCCTTACAAACCTTAAACCACACCCCTGAACCATGTTACAAACTCAAAAGCCCTAAATCCTGCAAACCCGAACCCCAGCGCCTGAACCCTCTGGTAAACCCCAACTCCCTAAACCCCAACGCCTGATACGCTAAACTAAACCCCTGAACCCGATTATAGAGCCCAAACAAGCCCAGAAACCTAAACCAAATCCTAAGCAAAGTCCCAACACCCCCTACTCCAAATCCCTAAACCCAAGAGCCCCAAAACTTCCAAAATCCTAAACCAGACCCCTGAACCTGGTGGTCGCAGTATCTGGCCCAGCCCAGGCCGTTGGAAGGTCCTGGTTGCCGAAAGCTGGAATTCTGGGCACGGTTTGGGGTTCAGGGTTTTAGGGTTTAGGCCTATAAATTTTGGGAGTCTAGGCTCTGTTTTGTCTCTGTTTTTGTGAGCTCCTTGTTTCGCTACCTCATTCCTGTACGAACCAGAGCAGCCGCTGTAGGGTTTAGCAATTGGCATATGGGTGGTTGTCAAAATTATGGTCCCCTTTTGGGCCCCTAATATAGTACGGCACCTAATATTTAGGGTACCCAGAAAGGGACCATAATTTTGACAACCACCCATATAGGCGTTGGGTCGGGACGGCTTTTGGGGCAGTCTATAGATCTGGGATGCTTTTCAGGGAACTCAATTGCCAAAGGATGTACTATGAAGCCCTGGCAACCCACCGCAGAAGCCCTCAAGAAAATATGTTTGGGTCGCCTGAAACACTGTACCGGGTTTTGGGTTTAGGGTTGAGGGAACTGTGGGGTTTTGGGATGTGTCCGAACCCGATGGCTCTAGCTTCTGCGACATCATCTGGAACCTTTCAAGCGTGGCTTGACCCCAATGATTGGAATAACTAGCGTTTTGGGGAACACACAGTCTTCAAACTGAGGATCCCCACGGAATTAATTTTGGAAATCAGTCAAGCCCCTCTCTCTCTCACTCTCTCTCTCTCTCTCTCTCTCTCTCTCTCTCTCTCTCTCTCTCTTTCTCTCTCCCCCAAACCCTAAATCGTACTGCTAATGGATCAGAGCGTGAGCCGTAGGACTTTGCCGCCCCTCATCCCATGCCCTCAGGCCGACATATCAACACGAAAGCCCTGCAGCCCTCGAACGATGAAGCTCATTTATAAAACGTTTCAGGCCTTGGATTGAGGGTTTGTGATGTTGGCTTATATTTGGATAAGGTGCGGTTTAGGGTTTAGGGTGTTTTGCATCCTGCATTGCGGTACGAGTCGCTGGGTTCAGAAGGTTCAGGGTCTATCTAGTACTTGGGAGTTGAATTCTTCAGGCTTGACGTACACGGTTTTAGGGTTTTGAGCTCAGAGGTTGCAGGGTTCGACGAGACTCTGTCTGTTACCTGGGGGTCAGGCGTAGACCCTCCCTCTGGTGCACGAAAATTGAAGCACACTCCGCAGTCGACGACCGAGAATCCGAAATAGCTGAAGTCGGCCCGATCGGCTCCAGGATTCTCTGTGCCAGAACTCAGGTGTTGCTGCTATCTCTGCTATCTATAATTCTTCAAATCTATCATATCTAAACCCAACCTCAGCCTCAAAGCCTACCCTCCTTCACGGACATAGAAAAGGAAATCACAATTAGAAGCCGCGGCGAGGTTTTGGGGGATAAAGCAACCGTCTAGGTAACTCTGACCAAAACCATCACAGCTCACCCGAACAGCTCCTTTCCGCCGCGGGAGCTTGGGGCGGCGCTGTGGGGCCGGCGTGACCCCTAAAGTGCGTAGGGCTTTAGGGTTTAGGTTCCAGCTTCACGATTAACGGCTGATGTTGGCTAGAGACCAGCAACCCCAAGGTTGGGGTGTGCGGCATCATAGGCCGCACAGGCTCGGCCATAATTACTTGAGGTTGCAACTATCTTGATTGAGTTATCCTAGCTATCACCAACCTTTCCGAGTCCCCTGAGCCCTCTGGAGCCAAAAAACAAATACGATTTACGTGGATGTTATAGGGACCGGGAGTCTTTGAGAGTTTGGAGCGGCGCGTCCAGTTATTCGAAGTAACATAGGGGCCTTAATAATTAGAATAAGGTTTTTGAGCCCGGTATACAATAATTATAATACCAAGCCGCCAAAATAATATAGGTAATTATGACGGCCCCTATATTAGTGGGGGAGTAAACCGGACCCTGATAAAGAAAAACACACCAAACCCTTAAATCTTGATTTAAGCTCTTGCGCCTCTGTGCGTTTCGGATCTGGCTTTAGGCCCACTTGGGCTTTTGAAGCTTAAAGTTTAGGTTTCAGGATTTGTATGCTAGGATTTCTTGGTCCCACGCCTCAATAAAGCCGAAAAGAGAAAGGTCGGAAAAATCGGTACTAGCACTACCTGCATGTCGTCCCTACACAATGATTCTATCATTTATGCCCAAAGCGTTGTAGCCCCGAGCAACCGTACATGGGGACATACTGAGACAGGAACCTGCCTGACTCGACAAGTGTTAGGAGCACAACATGGCCAAATAAAATGAGGCGGGACGGTCTTTGCATGCGGCCTAAGAGTTTCTTGAAATCAATTTGGCTGATTTCCATGTGTCTGGAAGGGCGGTATCAAGTCTCACAAGGGCTGGTTATTTTTTGTGACAGTTTGTTTAATGAAGGGTTTCTTAACATCAGTGTTTCGGTTTCTGAACAAGGAGTCAGAGTCTGCAATACTTGTTGTCTTGGCTCTGACACTGCATCCGGCCATCCCGAATTAGGGCCTAATATAAGGGCTTGAAAATTAAAATAGGGTTTTGGGGCCCATTAAATTATAGTTATAATAAGGAACCCCCATAATATTATAGGTAATTATTAAGGCCCCTATAGTAAGCTGACGAGTCTCGCGAAGGACCTCATCTGGGCAGCTGGAACGCCTGTGCAGGACACGGAAGCCCCAGGTAGGGCCTGCGTAACCCTAAACCGGTTCAGCACTCACACCGGTTGGCGATTCAGGGTTTGGGCTCAGGTCTAGTTGTCCTGGGCTTTCCAGTTTCCGGGGTTCAGAAAAGCAGTGATTTCAGCTTCTTTGTCCCCTAAAACCCGTAGACCCTGAGAGTGTTCACAGTGCAGGTGGAGAGGCCCAGCATAAATCCTTAATCGACCATGCCCTTATGCCTCCTCAGTTCCTACGCGCTTAGTATTTCGGCGTGTATTCGGGTTTGCAAGCACCTCCACTGGCCTTATCCCCAGGAGAACTGAAAGGAAGCTGCCTGAAAAGTAATGTTTTGACTATTATACAATTTACATTATTATAACTCCAGTACTATGCTATTACTACAGTCTTGTGCTAGTACTATTTTTTATACTATTACTATATTGTTATTACTACAGCATTATCCTGTCATTACGATTATCGCCGCATTTTCGGAACCTCCCATATAGGGACTCAACAGTATGTGTTGCTAACGGTTCTTTCTCCCTATGCTGCATACCTCTGCAAACCCTTACACCGACGACCTGCGTAGTATAGTATGTGATATGTTATTGAATTTTGTGTCATCATACAAAATTGTTCTATATTTTACCATTTACATAGCTGCACAAATCCCTCCAAACCCTAAACTGTGAAACTTTAGTGTTGTAGCAGACCTAAGACCTAAATATATGCAAACCCTGAACCCCATACTCTGCACCCTAAATATCCCTTAGCGCTTTCAGGGTTCCCTGTAATTCAAGCATTCCTTTAAGGGATACTATAAGGGTACGATAAGGGATTTAGGGATGTAGGGGGCTTAATAATACTAAGCCCCTGGGCCTTTCTTTGCTGTGGGAGGATGCCCTTACTGACGCAGGTGGCGCGGAGGTCTTGCTCGAAACTCCTCAGGGTTTAGGGTTTGGGGCATAGGGTTCAGGGTTTAGGAGCAACTTGGGGCTTTCGGATTCGAAGGTTCTGTGTGGGGTGTATCGGCTCTTTCTCCTGCCAGGAAGTTGTAGCTCAGGGGTTCGGGACACTCTAGGGGCTATAATGATTTAAAAAGGTTTTGGGCTTTTGGGCATATGTCACCCAATCATTCCAACTGTGAAATTTGAAGACTAGAATAGAATCTCTAATGGTTCAGGCTTCCAAGTATTTGGGGGGTCAAGAGCTTCGATTTTAGCACTCTGGCTCTCCGGGAGCTGGGGGTTCACTGTCCTGGGATATGTTTGAGATTTAGAACTGATTTTTTCGGTGGTGTAAGGGTCTTGGGCCCTCGTCTTCGGTGGATGGTTCGAGGCTTTGAGAAATGTGGGGTTGTTTCGATTTTTGGGGAGCTGTCTATGGTGTTAAGGAGTCAGAAGATCAGCGAACTCGTAAGCACAGTTTTGCAGCAGACTTCTCTCCTAAGCACAATGAACCCTAGACTGCTGCAAAGGCCCGGGATTTGGGCAAGAAAGGTTTCTTAAATAAACAGACCTACGAACCTATGTTGCTTTCACAACCCCAAAGCCCTATGTTGCCAAGGTGGCTAAAGGGTTTTGATCATAAGGATGTGCCTCAACGCCACTTATCATGTGTTCGGCACAATTCCAGCTGCGCTCGGATTGAAACAACAGCTGTACTAGGGTTCTACAAGGCCTCTATTGCGGTTCTACTAGGGCTTTGAGGCTTGGGGTCGTACAGTGTATGTGATAATTAACACCCAAAGCCACTGCGAGCAAAAGTCAGATTAAGACCCAAAGCATGAATGCATGTGCCTTACTGTTTCAATTCGCAGCTTGCGGTATTCGTAAACTGATGACGGCTACTCTTGGCCGGCTAGTGAGATTCGCTTGGAATACCGGAAGGCGATGCCCAACACGTCGCAAACATAAATGCTGCAGTGATGAGGCGAGGCTCTGTGGGAATTCTTCGGGGATGATATGACCGCTGCCACAGCGCACTCATCCGGTTCTGAACACTCTTCCTCGGTGAAGCTGGGAGTTTCCGAAGAGAGAGGACTCTAGTATAGTACCCGTAGGACCTAGGATGCTTTGTAAAAGGACCCCAAAATACGGTACCCCTACGAGCCGGAAACTCTACACCGTTGGAGCTCTGAAGGGCTTCAAGATAAGGCAGCCCGCAGCTGGAGGCCACGAGAAGTAACAGATCATCATGATGACATGTCCGAGTACATATACACTGTGTATCTCCATTTAAAAAAAGGACTGTCATATACATGTATGTATGTATGTATGTATGTATGTATGTATGTATATATATATATATGCTCACCCCCCCCCCGGTGACAGACCACGGGTCTAAAAAACACCGTGCACAACGATATTCTGTGAAGCAAAACCGTTACATGAGGTATATAGTATAGCAACAGACGTGCGGCACATGAGTTACGTAATAGTCTTGTGGTAGTATCGGTATTAGGGTGAGTATTGTTATTAATATTAGTACTATTGCTTGCTGTAAGTATACGTATCAATATTGCCAACTATAAATTAGTGTTAGTGCTCATGTTCGTGTTAGAGTTAGCGCTAGTGCCAGTGTCAATGTCAGTAATACAGCACCACTGCTACGAGTAGTATCAGTATCAGTCTTAATGCTGGGTTTAACAGCAGCTTATATTCGCAGAAGTGCTAGTATTAGTATCAATATTAGAACTAGTTAGTTTTGATATGTTAGTATATTGATAGTCTCGTATATTAGCAGATTAGTATATCAATACATCAATGTATTCGGACAGCAAAATATTTGCATACTTGTATACTAGTATATTTTACATGTTAGTACAACTGGTGCATGACTACACTACTATACTGCTGTATTAGCTTACTAGTATATTGACATACCAGTATATTCGTACGTTAGCATATTAGTGTACGAATATGTGTACTATATTACTGTTTTATCTAATCATGTATAAGTATATCAGTATGTTGGCATATTAGTATACGAACTTGTCATGTCGGTATTCTTGCATAGTGCAGTAGCCGTATATGATTATAGTCACATATTCGTATAGTATATTCATACAACAACGAGAAGTATATTGATACATTGGTATATGGGTATATGCCTATGCCAAAGCATTAATACATGAATGCACTGATGTATATATCTGTATCTTAAGATAGTGGTACGTATTTTATGTACATGAGTATATGCAGGTGTCTATTAGTAATGGTATTAGTTTTCATATCAATATGAATATACTATTGGTATTCGTAGGAGTATTAATGTCAATACTAGTAGAAGTAGGACTATTTATACTCGTAATAGCCATAATATGAGTGTTCATGCTGGTAATACTAGTGGCATTCTTGAATATGCAGCAGATTATCAAAGTCCGTATTAGTGTTGGTGATAGCACTACTGTTAACGCACAAGGGTTTACGTATTCGTATTCGTAGGAGTATAAATAGCTATGTAAATATTGATGTTAGTATAGATTTTGTGTTAAGTATTAGCAGTAGTGTTAGCGTTAGTACTATCATATTATTGATGATATACATTCGAAAGAATGTTTGTATTGTTATTACTCTTGACCACGTGAAATTCTAACAGTTGAATTCATGAGTGAGTTAAAGGATTTGTATTTTAATATGGTGGTATGCATGTTTATGTACATTAGTACATACAGGTGTGTGTTAGTATTGGTATTATTATACATTATTATCAATATGAATATGGTTATTGATATGCGTAGGAGTACTAAGAGCAATACTAATCAATCTTAATATTTGTGTTATGCATATTCGTACTAAGTTTTATAGAAGTGTAATTTTAGTAGTAATGCTGGTATTAGCTTGAGCATTCAACAAATGATCAATGTCAGTATGTTCAATGGCAATACTATATGTAGGAGTATCAATACATATATGTATATATAGATATACAGATAGATAGAGAGATATTCGTGTAAATATGGGCATGAGTATTGACAGCCCTTGCCTTTGCAAGTAATCTGGTCCGATGCGGAGACTAGCACGACAAGGCGCGCGGGTGTCCTACCAAGAAAGGAATTACAGAGCACACGTGTATGGATGAGGGTTGTGCTGATACACTACATAGTAAGCACTACACAGTAATCTTACTTGAGTCATATATAGAACAGATTCCAGCATTTCCAAAATTTCCAAAATTTCCAAAATTCTCTCCCCTAACTTTCCGCATTTCCAAAATTTCCAAAATTTCCAAAATTTCCAAAATTTCCCAAATTTCCCAAATTTCCAAAATTTCCAAAATTTCCCGACCTAGTCGACAGGATTTTTCCAAAACATAAGGGCGGACTTTTTGGAAATTTTGGAAATTTTGGAAATTTTGGAAATTTTGGAAATTTCGGAAATTTTGGAAATTTTGGAAATTTTGGAAATTTTGGAAATCCGGAAAGTTAGGGGAGAGAATTTTGGAAATTTTGGAAATTTTGGAAATTTTGGAATTGAGGCTTTGAAAGCTGAGTGCCCCCTCCCCCCGATCACAGACCATGCACTACGACTGAGTCGAAAGGGCATGGTCTGTCATGGGGGGGGGGGTGACCATATATATATACACCTATACCCATACATGTAGACACGCGCATACACAGACAATTCAACCACGCAAGAGACAGGACCCCTCTTACTCTTACCCTCAAGCCAAACAAGCTCTTGAATACAAAAACATGGCATCAAAAGACCTTTTGTTGTTAATTAATAGTTACATCCCTACCTGTAGTCTTCAATGTAGTTCCTTTGTCAAGCTATCTTATTGGTTATTTGCTTTTTCGGATCCTGTGCATAAGACTGGCCAACCAAAGCCTAGGAACTACGGACCATGCAACCAAGGCTCAGGAGAAACCCGGACACTGACGTGTGCTTCAGTTTCCTGGGCAGGGACTGCGGGCAGTGATACGCTGTAAGTATACCTATATATAGGAATACACTCCACTCTGTCTGCATGTAGACCGTTTGGAAAGGAGAGGGAGCTCGAAGAAGGAGACTGGGATTTGCGGAAGGGCTTGTGCAACTGCAAGCTTGTATACCAGTCATATTTAGGAACTCGGCGGAACCAAGGCCATGTCTTGCCGCTACTGCTGGCTCCCTATGGCTCAGGGTATTTGGGTTCCGGAAACTTTGTGGGCATTTACAGTCGCAGATATAGATATACACATACATGCATACATACATATATATATATATATGTAGAGAGAGAGAGAGAGAGAGAGAGAGAGAGAGAGAGAGTGACAATACCTGGTAATTCTATGATACACCCCCCCCCCCTCGGCCACTGTAGTACCCTAAATGTGAATTCTTAAATGCTAAACCCGAAACCCTGAAGCCGTAAGCCCGAATCCCCAACCCCCCGCCCCAAACCCTCCCCCACCCGCAACCCAAAAACCCTAAACCCTAAACCCCTAAACCCTAAACCCTAAACCCCTAAACCCTAAACCCCTAAACCCTAAACCCTAAACCCTAAACCCTAAAACCTAAACCCAAAGACAGGCAAAGGTTCCATTGCAGGGCCAAGTTCCCCAAGGCTGTGCCCCACCTGTCTCGCGCCCTCAACCAGCTGGTCGGGCGGGAAAGCCATCCTGCGAAGAGTTTTTGAGTTCATAGGCCGGGTTCCTATAAAGGCTCTTGTCAAGACTCCTGTAAGGGTTCGTCTAAGGGCGGCTTTACGGCTAGTAAGGGTTGCTAATGGCTAGTATCTATGAAGAGTTTGACTGGGTCTGGACCCAGACCCTCCGGAGGATCCGCAAAGTAGATCCCGTAAGGGGGCTCCTATAAAGTATCCTTTGGTAGCAGAAGGTCCCAATTTAAGAGTTCTTCTGGCTCTATAGGCTTAGGGTTTATAGGGTGCTCACTGGGTCTAAAGGGGTTCTGTCCGGGTTTACATATGGGTTTACACTCTCGCAGCTCGGACTCCGCCAGACGAGGTCTTGTCCTGGACCCCCAAAGTATGTGGAATAATAGCCTTTTATGGGTACTGGGCCATTATTTTACCTACTTTGGGGTTTAGGGTGTTCGAAGTAGGGTTTCGGGCTTTTGCCGGGTCTAAAAAAACTCTAGGCCGCTTTTCCACAGAAGTATGGGAATGAGCTGTATGACGGCTTGACATGCTGATCGGGGCTTGCTTTCCTCTACGCGGCGGTCGACCTCGGCATCGCGAATTCCAATGATTCGTGAAAACGGCGTTAACGATTCGAATCGGGGTTTGGTGCACGGCAGAGCCCTAAACCCGAAGCCCGCACCCTACACCTTCTGGAGGAACATCCGTGTCCTCAGGCACTTACAAAGTGGAGAGCGTCCTAACACGATCCATCCTTGAACCATGGTCCACAATTTCGGGATTTGGCGTGAGACCTGAACTCGCAAGGCGTCCTGTAGACAGTCTTCATCGCGACGCCGCAGAGAATGCAGGTACTCAAAGTGACAGCAAGCCTTCCGTGAAAGAGTTGGACGTCTCTCAGCGTAGGGCTCCGGGTTTCAAGCCCCTTTCTCCTAGGTCCCTCTAATGGAACACCTATGTAAAGGAGCCCGTTAAACGCCCCCTAAACCCACGGGCGTCACGGTTGGTTGCAGCAGTTTGAGGTTTGGTATTTTTGTACATGCGCGGAAGGGTCTTCTCTTATGGCTTCAAACGGCCGGCCGAAAGTGGGTAATATACAATAGTCTTTTGGGGGGGGGCTTAGCTTTCAGGGTTTGGGATTGTAGAGTTGGGATTTAGGGCCATGTAGGGGCCTTGTTGGTTAGACTGGGAACTGGAAGAGCTATACAAGGACTACAGCGGGTATTCTGTTTCCCATTCCACAAACCGCTAGATTGTTCGTTGTGGGTTTTGCTTATCAACACAGGCTTGCTTTAACCCACCGAAAACCACCAGCCCTCCAACACGAGCTTAGAATTTAGCGGTCGGGACTCTGTCAACTTGGACACTTAGGGCGTCAGGTTTAGGGTTTCAGTTTACGGAGCATATAGACCGAGCCAATGTCCACATAACCACCTTGTTCTTTACCGCCCAAGTTCCACTACCGTCATCAGCAACAGCCGCTGCAGCTGGTTCATGCTTACTGCTTACTACCACCACACTCACCAAACGGCATTGTCTTCATACTCATCACTGTCCTCGCCAAACTGTGAACCCACAAAAGCAAACCAAGCAAGTCAGGCGAGCAACATGCCGAGGGCCACGATAGCCAAGCCCAAGAAAGTGGCCGGATCTTCGGTGAGGCAGTCGCACAAACACCTCGGCTCTTCCAGGTTGTTGCAGCTAGATGGGTAGTTGTCAAAATTATGGGTACCCTAAATATCAGGTGCCGTGTTTTCATAAGGACCCCAAAAGGGACTATTTTTGACAACCACTCAGATGGATTCAGGGCTGATAGGGTTTAGGATGCGCTTCTTTGCTACTGGGCTTGAGGACAAGCCGGATCCGCTCGATTTAGGATGCCCTAACCCCCAATCTATGGAGGGAGTTTCACGGGCAGCTCCTTGGCGGCCTCTGATTTGCTACTTCATGGGCGAACTGCGAGATTCTGTCGCATCTGTGTTCCGCATCATAGCTTATAGCATCAGCATATCCAGAATCAGCCTCGAATTATGTGACACAAGGAAGGCCAAAAGCCGGGCAAGATGGGAGTTTCCACAAAAGGGGGACCCCAATATAGTACCCTAAATAGCAGGATCCTTATTGTAAGGAACCCCCCCAAAATAAGGTACCCCGGATTGTCGGAACCCCCATATTCGAACGGTCCACCCTGGAGCCTAAATCACCAATCCGCCGCGCCCCTCGGCCCTTTCATATGTCAAAAGCCAAAGCCCGAAGTACCCTGGACCAAAAAAACCCTAAATCTTAAGTACCCTAACTGCCCAGACTGGGGCCCTTCTTCGCACCATATCTCGTTTTTGGCAGGCTTGCATGTTTTTGCGGGTTTGGGGGCTGGGTTGTACCATTGTACCGGATGTAAAGAACTAGCAAGGCGCTAAACCATAAACCCTGGACCGTAAGCTCAGGGTTTAGGGGTGTTATAGCAACTGCTTTCGGGGTCATCGGCTCAAAGGTAACCTCCAGAAGGTCCCGAGGTCCCTTGTTTTTGGAGCACAAGTAATTGGAGTAGGGCTTTTGGGAGTATATATTGGTACATGATCTGCCACAAGGAGCCCTAGGGGATCAGATCAGTCGTTTTTGAGGCTTCGATTACGATAGCCTGGAGGTTAGACGATCCTCTTGGACCCCCGGCCCCTCCCTTAAGGATTCCGGTCTTCTGTAGAGTATACTGTAGTATGCTATGGTCAAGTAAACGATATTATGGAAGACTACAGTATGCTGTACTGTACTACAGTATGCTGTACTGTAGTATAGTCTAGTACTATTATAGTATAGTATACTAAAGTCTATAATAGTATACTTTCGTGAACACATGTTATTGTAGTGCACTACAGTATACTATAGTATAGCAAAGTGTAGCCTATCATAACTGTTGTTACACCCCGGGCACGACTTCGCGGCATCGGCAAAATGGCTGCCGCCTGCACAGTGGAGCGCGCACGTCCAATCCTTGGCTGACTTCTGTAATCCTGCGCGGTACGTGTATGTATACATATGTATATATATATATATATATATATACACATGAATGTTTGAGGTTTAGGGTTATGGAGTTTACGGTTTTCGGTTTACTGGTCAGGACGGTTTAGGGTCCGGTTTAGACGGTTGGACCTATAGCTGCGAAACCAATTACCTAAAATCTTTACAGCCCTCTCCATGCAGACTCTCTGCAGTCCACACCCCCCCCAGCTCGACTTCCAAAAGCTCAAATCCTAACAGCCGGCCAGGAGAGAGCCCTGTACTTATAAACCTTATTGAAGGCGACCCTCAACCTGTAGAACCTGAATCCTGCACTTTTGAATAGAGCCAAGACTCATAGGCCTCGCCTTGGGTTAAGTTGTGGGAGGCAGGATCGCACTCCTCAGGGGCATGAACATTGTAGGGCCTTTTTTTGAAGGACCCTTTTGTGTTGCTGGGATTCCGAAAACGGTATTCCGCTGGGCCTTGTGGATAAGCTTGTGAGGGTGTAGGCTTTCTGGGCTTATCGGGACCCGGGAGTCTCCAGTCGTGTAGACTCCTGATGACTAGATCCCCCTCCCGTAACAATGAGGATAGTCTTAAGGAAAGTCATTAGGTGTATTGACCCGGGGCCTACATTACACGTTTACTGAGTTGCAGATCCCTTCTTCAGGATCCTGAAGTTGACGGAGTATTCCTATTTTGCGGGGATTCGTCTCGGTTAAGGCTCGTAATTAAGCCGGATCGCACTCCTAGATGAGGGTGTGAAGGATTCTTTCGGGGCAGGGATTCGATCAGGTCGTACCTGTCTACTTCCACAATCAGGCCCATAGAAGCCCAATGAAGTCAAAGTTCTCACAGAGGCTATAGCGTACGGAGACGGTTACCCGAGGCGTCTTGTGACTTCCTGCTCAAGGGCATCGTCCACCCCTCGCAGCAGGCCCTTGTGGTTTTAGAGGTCCCAAGTGATGCAAGGATCTGAAGCTCAATATCTCCCCACTACAGTAGTGACTGGGATATTCTTCAATGAATCAGAACCATGTCTGGGGCATAGCATTGTATCGTAGTCAGATTAACACAGTATATTGCAGCATGGCAAAGCATTAGCATGGCAGTGCAAAGTGCGTGGTGTAAAGTGCATGCTAGTGTACAGTGTGTTTTACCTGGCATGCGACATTGTGGTAACGGTGGATGGTGAAGGGTGGCGGTATATGCGGCATATGACCACAAGTATACATCACGTAGTATATGTAGTCTAGAGTATTGATTATAGAGTAAAGAGTAGTAAAGCCTAGTATAGCTGCAGAGGGGCTATTATGTGGGCAATAGCCGCCATCTTTTCGGATTTCGCAGTCGACATGGTTTGGTTTGTTTCACTCTGGCTCACTGCTCTTGCTGATGCTGCACCCAAGTACGGACACTGTTCGGAGAGTAGAAGGATAATTACCACAGATGACTACAGTGAAAACCCTAGCTGTAGCCACATACCCTACAAAATCATAGGGTGTGATCCCCTGGTACACATAGGGTTGGTTTAGTTACAGTTACACTATTAGCTTAAATTACTACCCGCACACCCTCAAGCCAAGGCACTCTGTTCACCGTCCACGGGCGCTCTGAGGACACAATGGCCTCTTGCGACGAAGATTGAAGATTCCTGAAGATCTGCCCCGCTGAGGTAGCACCTTGCTTAGGGGTTATATTAAAGGGGTTGTTTCAGGTTTGGAGAGGGTTTAGGATTGCAGCTTTTGGTTTTAACAGGGTTTGGGGCTTAAGTTCGGGGCGAGCTCTGAACCAGATTCCGAATCCTCAGCTGCGCATCGTTTGACATGCAGCCTTAAACCCTATAGGCCCCGATTTGGGCCTAGCGTTGAGTAAATTTAGGGTTGAAAGTCGGTCGGATTTTGAGGGTTTGCGAATTCTACCGCTTGCCAACTTTTTCTGGACCAACCCCCCACGCCCTTGACGGCTGAAAACCCTATACCCTTAAGCCTGAACCGAACAAGGTCCCAGACTTAACTCGACGCTGAACCCTGCATTCCAGGCCTGCAACCCTAAACCCTCAACCTTGAGCCTCAAGTCCTCAACCTTGACAAGCCCATGTGTAAGAGCATAGCACAGAGCCTCCCATCTGAAGCCTTGAAATTTCTTGCAATGCACGACCCAGGCTCCTATTGGACTTCTGGTGGTACACCATGCACCGATAACTATCCCTGAAAGAGCTTCACTGCCTGCAAACACTTCCGGTCTCTGGGCCAAAGCAGGGAGGGACCCCAAGTACACCTGTATGACCGAAACCCTACAACATACTGTAGGGTCCTACATATGTACCACCCCCAAGATCCTTATTTTGTAATAGTATAACGGGCCCAAAACCCGATTCTAATTATTAAGGTCCCTATAGTAGACCCACGACCCATGCCTCTAAGAGACTGAAGCCCGGAACTCTGCAGGGGAGACCCCGAAACCCGAAGTCTAAAGCCATCAAGACCCAAAACTAACCACGAAATGCTAGGGGCCGATCGCCTTGGCCTAACAATGATTGAGCTTTTCATGCTGGTACGGCTTAGGGTTTGCAAGCTTAAGGTACGTGGGAAAACGGCCCAAGTTTACCGCCGCAATCCAAGAACCCCCTTTTCAGCGTGGGCTTGGATTGTGTGCCAGCGAACACTCCTCAACAGCAGGGCCTTGAGGGACGCAAACCCTAAACCTTAAACCCCAAAGTGGAGCCGTGCGACTGGGAAGCGATCGAGCCGTTAGGGCCCGAACGAAGGCCATGCTCGAAGAACTCAAAGGATTTCGGGAGTTTTGTTGGGTGTCTTTCCTGATTGCGTGCAGGTGAAGTGCTTGGGTTTTGACTTTCTGGTGTATCTAGCGTTGCTTCGTTGTCTAAGGTTTCGGGGTTTAAGAGAGACGAAGCCAGCTGGCACCATGCCGCCAAACTGTAAGCCAAAAGGCGTGATGCAACTGCAATGTTGCAACCTGAGGCCGTGAACAAGTATTGCCCAACAGAACTCCGAAATCTGCAACAAGGGGTCGAAGTAGCAAGGTTGTATACAGTTATATACATATATATATATATATATATATATATATATAGATAGAGAGAGTTATACACACATGTTTCCGTGCAAGTGAACAACTTGAAACCCCAAGAGTCGACTTTTTGGTTTGCCTCATGCATTCAGAAACTTCAGTCTCTCGGCGCAACAGCAGTGGATCTCCGTCGCGCACGGCCAAGAGCCAAAAGCCGCGATTACATCCGAACTGCGAACCCAGGTGCTTCTTGACACCACGCCCGAAACCTTCTGCCCTCTCCCTGAAACCCGCGGACCCTAAATCTTCAACATGTCATAAATGTTCAGGATTCGTGATTTCTCCGCCCAGCCACGACATGGCTTTCATCTTCTCTGCACCTCTGCCCTATAGTGGTGCCTGGTGCCCGCACCGGGATGCTAGGAGGCCTTCTTGGCTCTTCTCTCTGCCGCCTCTTTGGCCTTGTCTCCTCTCACTCGACCCCAACCGACTCCCGTCCTACGGCTGTGTCTAGCACTCGCTGCACCTCATCAGCTGTCATCGCCTGAGGCGCGACTGTCTGGCGCAGGATATGTTCCGTCTGTTTTCTGCAGTTTCTTGTACCTAGAACCCCCAAAAGTAGGTAGAATAATGGCCCAAAATCTATAAGAGGCTATTATTCTACATAATTTTGGCTCCAGGTAGTTGGCATTTTTTGGGACTGTCCTCTGGTCCACGGCCGATTGGGTGTGCCCCCCCCTGTCAAGCCGTCTCTACTGGGTCTTCGCGTTTCTGTTTCGAACTGGCTGTAGGTCGGCCTGCATGCCACCGCACTGGGCTTCCGCATGCAGAGAGAGAGAGAGAGAGAGAGTTCATAGAACCTTGGAGTATGGAACCCCTTGACATCCCAAGAAAACAAGAGTATGGAGAGCATTCTGGGCTGTCTTGTCGTACTTTTATAATCAGGAAAACTAAGGTAATATATATATGTATATATATATATATATATTACAGTTGGAGACTCTTCAATCAAGCTCCGCACGTCTCACACGTAGGAAGAAGCCCTAAACGCTTGACAAATAACATCCTGAATTATGAAAACCACTGCAGCCCCAAATGGACTAACCCTAAGAGCCCTACTTTTCAAGCGGCCATGTATCATAGGGACCCTTAGGGGGGCAGTGTACTATGTGACTCTATATACTTCTTTAGATAGGCCTTGTGAAGTCCTGATTATAGGTATTAAGCCCCCCCCCCCCCCCGCCCTCCCTCCTACCCGCCCCTAAGGGTCCATATGAATGCAAGGATATCCTAAGGTCGCACAACGCGAAGCTCAGACTCTGTGCGAAACAGGGGCTGTCACTCTCGCTGGCGATATCAAAGGCACGAGGAGTTCCGGCATTTTCTGGTTCAGAGATTTCAGCTTTCGGAATTCATGATTTCATGGCTTGAAGTTTCATGGCTTCGGGTTTAAAGAGTTTAGGTGCAACTCTTCAAGAGAAGTACACTTTTTCTGCGGAATCTGGGGGCAGGCGAACATGCTTCTCTTTCAACTTCGGGTGCAGCCTACCAGCTCAGGATCCGTAGGGCTTAGAGTCAAGCGACCCTAGATCCTAAATCACGGCTCTTTCTCCACACTTTTCCCAACTCTCAAGGTATTCTAGCACTGTACCTACGGTCCAGTATCTAAGGAACGGGGAAGGTTGACCTTTGAGATTCTATGGGGGTTGGAGCCCACAAAAAAAGTTACTGGCCACCTACAGCAATACTAAGAGCAAGTCTTAAGACAAAGGCTTTGCAAAGTCATTACTGTTTGGATGTTCTACAGCGTCCGGATTTCTCCTTCGTTCTAAGAACCACAGACGGGGTATACGATATACATATACACACACACAAGTAGGAATATTGTCAACATGCCAAGCAATGGTCAAGCTGGCATTGCAGGGGAAAAGCGGCATTAGGAACGTGAAAACAGACACCATGCAACATGGAGCACTAGAATCTAGAATGCAATGAGCGGCATTTCCTCGAGCCAGTCAAACCTGCGAAAAAAGGGAGCTGCAGGAAAGCATCGCCGAGCATCGCTGTGGAAAGAAGCCTTTCTGACCTCTGCCAGATGGGGAGGACTCGGCCGTCGGTTTAGGCTTTAGGGCTTAGGGTTTTCGAGTGCTTTCGGTCCTTCATCGTAACCGCACAGGGAGGCGATGGTACGAACCACTCCTTCGCAACCCCGCTGCACTGTGCCAGAAACCCCTGCATATTATGAACCACGTTTTAGGGATTGGGGCTTCAAGAAGATTGGCTGAATTCTAGAATTCTAGAACAACAAATGATTCCTTATCGGGCTCTTGACATGCCCTGTATCTGCTTTATATCTGGGAATTCCCGCCAAGCTCGTCTACGTCGAAGTGGGCTCCTACATGATCGCGTTGTTGAGTTTTGTTTTGCGGAAACTTCTGGATTCCGCCAATATTTCTTCGGTCTTCAACACTCCTTTACCGAACTCCTCATGTAAACCCCATCCATTTGAATTCACAGCCCCTATGAAGCCCTGAACGTCACTCCAAACCTGACAATACACCTGAACTCGAAACGCAACCCCATAAAAAGATGGTCTGGGCCCCCGCAGACTCAATGGCCAGCCCCCTTTAATCAAGCTATACTCTTCCCAACAGCTCACGGAGAGGTTTAACCCACAGACTTGCATGTGAGTAAGAGGTGTACTGTGTATATCCATAGGCTCCATAGTAGTTCCTGTTTGGGATTAATTACCTTATAGGATTCACTGTAGTACACGCAGGACATGGCCCAAGCCACAACAGTGGTAGAGGTCTTACTCACCACTCAACTACGGTCTGCAACGGCTTTGTTTGAGGGTTGAGGGTTCAGTGCACATGTGCGAGGCGAATGGTTTTGACGTGCTTCTCTGTGCGAAAATAACTATGCCACTACTATTTTGGGGGTTCCTGATTATAGTTACAGTATAATGGGCCCCAAAAAACCCTGTTCTAATTGCTAAAGCCCTTATATTATACTACCCCTATAGCTCCCTTATAGTAACCCTTCTATAGACCCTTTAAAGGAACCCTATTCTAAATAGGAAGGCCCTATATTACAGGAGGCTCCGCGGGGTTTGGGGCGAAGCTCGCCTGACTTCTCTTGCTGATCTGTACCGACAGCACACTCCGCCCGCATCTCTCGGCCAAGCTCGGGCAAGACTACGAGGCCACGGCAATCGCAAAGGGCCTAAGTATCTCTGTAGCAGATATTTTGGTCCTGAAAGCACCTAGACCCTTTGAGAACAAAGTACAGTAGAAGCCCGAAAAAGGGAACATCATGATCCTGACACCCTCCGCGAAAAGTCTAAGGAACTCCTGCACTAATCACTGGCCATCCTTAACGCATGTTCCAACTTTCGGGGCTTCACTGTGAAGATGCACAGGCACAGGCTGCAGAAATCTTTCGGCAGCTTCAAGCGCGCCCTAAATCCCAAAGGCTATACCCTAAAACCCTAAAGACCTGAAATCAGAAAAGCAGGGATCTGAGTGCTTAACTGACCCCGAGTTTAGGGCCTGTTGCTTGACGGATCAAGTACCGGAGAAGATCAGACATGTTATAGCTACCCTAGATGAGTCTTAACCATTATAAAAGAGAAGCTTGGGATGTTTTGAGGTACCGTACATGCTAAAACCACATTAACTCGGTGCCCCTAGCCGCAGAGTGGAAGTTGTTTGACACCTATTGTTTGAAAGAACAAAACACCGACCATGCAAACACGAAGGGCAACGGCAGCTTGCAACATTGGACCAAAAAGAGTCCCCACGCTACTCGCAGAAGAAAAACTGGCTGCCTACTGTAGGGAAATTCAGAATCAGAACGGAGTAGTGCGGGTATTTTTGTGCACTGTCTATTCATACTAGGGAACCCTACAGCCTGTACCCTAAACGTTTGCAAAACTTAAACCCTAGCACCTAAATCCACAGACCCGGAAATCTAAAGCCCTAACCCAAAATACTGTCATCACTAAGCATGGAAGCCCCTATATCACCCGGGACGACTCCCCGGATGGAACCCATTTTGGCGGTGCTGATGGGATTTAGGGCGTTGCAAGACCCTGCCAGCAAGTCGGCGCCTGCTTTGCACCATCTCTGACGCACGCAGATCTGACCCATGCAGAGCTCAATGCCCATTAAACAAGAAGCTCACTTGAATCACAAGGGATGCAGATGTTGATTCAAGGAAGATGGCTTATTGAAGCTTTAACTAGGCTGTTGAGTCACCCACTGGGAAAAGTATTTACTTGTTTAGTCTTCTTATTCATTATAGGAACCCAGAGACCTGAAAGTAAAAAAGTGTACCACTGAGCAGCCTGGTTAAAATACCAGCAACGCATACTGAATATAGGGGGCATTGAGCTCTGTGGGCATCGCCACAGGCATCGATCCACGCTCAGGAACTTGACACGCTCGGGGCTGTTGATTCATCAAATGCGAAAGAGGAGCCCGAAGTTGCTGCGCAGGAAGTGGGGAGTTTCCGAAAATAGGGGACCCTAATATAGTACCCTAAATAGTAGGATCCTTATTATAAGGACCCCAAAATAAGGTACCCCTAATTTTCGGAAACTCCCAGGGAGTAAATCCAAAGTCTTCGTGATGATTGCAGTTTTAGGGTTTAGGGCTATGGGGGGCTAGGGTGTTAAGGTTTAGGATTATGGGGTTTTAGGGTGTAGGGATTTTGGGTTTACGCTCTCGCAACTCGGACAT